AGGTCCCTCCCAATTCCCGCCCCCCGCCCCCCCCCCCCCAAGCCTGCACTGAACATGGGCTCATCAGACAGTGTGCCCCCTATCCGGTTCCCCAAGTGCTCCATACCCCGCAGAGACTCACCAAAGTCAATACCCTCAGACACCTTGCCCCTGGCCACAGAAAGCAGGATGGCCCCGCGTCCATTCTCGCAGGCCTGTGCACACATAGGGTCATGCCAGGCTCGTGGGCCCCCCCTCAACAGCCAGAAGGTCCCCGCCCCCACCACCTGGAGCCAGCCCAGGGCACAGCCATTCAGGGAACCATGTGCCAGCCCACCCAAGAGGTGGCTGCAGGGCAGCCCCAAGCCCTCTAGCAGCATGAGGGAGGGGTCGCAGGCTGCAGGCCTGGCAGGACAAGAACCCCTGGCCCTACACCCACCTCCTGGTACTTCTCCAGTGCCATGCTGGTCTCAGCCCCGTCCTGCGTCTCAATGAAAATCAGCTTGTTCCGCTGGATGTTCTCTAGGATGCCCTGGGTGGAAGAAGAGGCAGAGATGGGCTCAGCAGGAGCTACTGGCAGGAATAGGGCAGAGGCAGCTCTATCCCATCCGTACTCCTGAGTCTAGAACCAACAGGTGACGAGCCCAGGCAAGGGGTGGCAGAAACACAGCCGAGCAGATGGTGGGACATGGCTTGGTGCTGCCTGGTGTTGAGGCACAGCAACCATGAGGGCACCCAGGACAAGGCAGCCTTGCTGGGAGGCCGTGTGGCGGGGAACTGAGCTCGGACCCTGGTCCAGGCTTCCGAGCTCAAGGTCTGCAGCCCGCGGTGGATGCACACGTACCTGCTCGTACCACGAGGCCACGATGTTCTCCATGTACTGGTAGCTAGTGAAGAAAGCCACAATGCCGTCGGGCACAATGGCTGATAGCTCCAGCAGCAGGTTGCCATAGTTGCGGATGACAGCTGTGGGCATGTGTGGGATCAGGGCCGTGACCAAGGATCTGGACCCCCCAGTTCTGGAGACCCCAAAGGTAATGGACAAGGGCAGGGTAGGGCCAAAGCAGGGATCCCCAGGGCACCCCATCCACAAGTTCTCAGGAACAGGACCCTGTTGGGCAGCCACACCAGCCCCACAGCCCTAGGACCCCAAATCTGCAGGACAGGGAAGGCAAAGGGGACAGGAGTGAGCACCTCCCCCAGCAGGTCTTGCCCTCCCCACCCCTGACCTACCGATGTCCTCACGGGTCTCAAACTTGGAACTGATGGCCACTTGGTCGTTGCCACGCCCCACGATCTGCAGGCAGGCAGGAGGGAGGGAGGGTGTTTGCAGGTGGGTCCCCAGTGTGAGCCCTGAATGGGCAACCATGGCTCCAGCTTCCACCCCGCAGCACCTGTGCACTCACCATGGGGCAGAGACAGGTCCTGGCCAGCGTCATGGTAAAGGTTGCCATGGTGACAGGGCGGAAATCCAGGATCTTGGGGTAGATGTCCAGTGGAGACAGTGTCTGAGGGGAGCCAGCCGGGCATGAGTGGTGGGGCCTGCAGGCTGCCCCCTCCCAGCCCCTGCCCCTTTTTTGGGGAGAGAGGCCTACCCCAGGCCCTGATGCTGAGCAGTGAGCTGTGCTCCCAGGAGCTGCCCACAGCCCCCACTCACCCCTGAGGTGATGATGACCGACTGGAAGCGCTCGAAGACAGGCTTGATGGCAATGGAGGCATCCATGCAGCTGGAGGGAACAGGACAGATGTCAGTGGGGGTGGGAGCACCACCAGGCCAGGGCCCCCTGTGCACCCCAGGTCCCACTCACCTGAAGTGCAACACGGGGTTGGTGATGGTGGGTGTCCGGTCATCAAAGGGCTCAATAAGAATGGTGAAGCCTGAAGGGAAGATGAAGCCCAGGGATGGCGTCAGCCCTGGCCACGCCAAGAGCATCTCTGTGGCCCACAGATGCCTGGCAAGGGGCTGTGGCCCCTCTGCCAGCCAGGGGCAGGGGGAAGGGGCCTGTGCCCCATTCCCCCCAGGCCTGAGCTGCCAGCCCATGAAGGCACGCGGGCGCCTCGGGCTCCTTCATGGCCTCCCACCCCCCTTGGCCAGCAGCTGCCAGGGAAGGGCTTGTTGGCTCAGGTCAGCAGCCCTCAGCTCCATGGCTGACGGGAACCCTGACATGGCCAGGATGAGGGAAGGGGGAGAAGAGCTGAGCTATGTGGCCATAAGCCCAGGCAGAGCAAGGAGCACTCCCGGATGGATTCTCCTGCACCCCACGGGGCCCTGGTGCACAGGAGAGGCCTCTCTGCAGGGCAGGTGGGTGGACGGGGGCTGGGCCAGGGCCAAGGAGCCAGGCCCCAGAGAACATGAGGCCCAGGCTGACCGTGGGGTCCTTGGCTGCAGGCACCAGCCCCCACGACACAGCCAAGCTGCTTAGAGCTAATGGGATTGGGGCCCTGGGCTGGGCTTAGGGGATTTGTGCTGTATTTATAGCTCCTATGACTTCAGGGCTGCCATCAGCTGCCTGGGGTGCACATGTGGCCCCTCCCCTAGGGTCACAGGTGCAAGGCTGGTCGGGGTGCTAGCTGGCTCCTAGGGCCACATGCCAGGGGCAAGCCAGCTTCTGTGGGGCACTGGGCACCACCCCAGGCAGAGGAGCCACTAAGGCCCTGAGGACAGTGTCAGTGGTTTGGTGGGTGGGGATGACAGCCCAGCGTTCACCCCTACCCCAGACCTGTTGGAGGAGTAGGGGGGTGCGGGCACCTGGGCTCGTACCCTTGGAGTAGGTGCTGACAAGGGTGGCGAAGTTGGCGATGAGTGTGAGGGGCGAGAAGTCAGCAACATCCACGATCTCCAGGGTGCGCAGCAGGGAGCGCAGCCGCTCCGCGCAGAACCTGCCAGGGGGGACAGGGCCCGGGGATCCCTTGGCATCACCCACAGGGACAGAGCTGGGGTTGAACCCCTGGGCCAGCACATGCTCCTCCACACAGGTGCTGGGCTGGGACAGGCCGAGACAGGTGACCCCCACCCCTTGCCAAGGGACCCCTGCCCCCGGATCCAGGACACAGGCAGGGCCAAGCTACAACAGCACCAGGCAGGGCCCCGGGAGGCTATGGGCCAGGGTCTCACCGGAGAGGCTTGCGCTCGATGCAGACTTTCTCGTGCATGTCCTTGAGAAAAGCAGGGGGGCTCTCCTGCACCATGTGCTGCGCCCGCAGTCGTGCCTTCAGGTACTCCAGGAGACGCCGCAGGAAGCCCACGAAGTGCTCCGCTGTCCGGATGGTCCCGGGCACCGCCTCTGCTGGGGGCAGCACTGGGTGAGTCTGGGAAAGGGAGCCGGGCCTCTGGCAGCTCCTCCCCATGGCCCAGGGGATGACCACCTTTCCTTGTACACCCAGGGCAAGGGCTCAACCAGCTCAGGGTGAGGCCAGATCCACGCCCAGTCGATTCCAGCTGTGCCAGGAGGTGCCAAGCTCTGCAAGGCCCTTCTCCTCCTGGCCCCTCAGCCCAACCCCTGCAGCTCCCACCCTGGAGAATCTCGTCGGGCAGCACGGGATTGGCCAGGTAGACGTCAGTCTCGCGGGCGACGCTGGCTTCCCTGAGCCCCTCCACCAGGCGCCGGTACTCATCCCGCAGCTTCTGTGCATCCGTCTCCTTGATCCTGGGGAGCAGAGGTGGTCTGAGACTTGGCCAGGCCAGGGGCTGGAAAGGGAGGGGGTGACATGAGGCCGGGAGGCACTCACCTGTGGATAGTGCTCTGGAGTGTGGTCATGTTGGCCTGGCACCGGTCCAGCGTGCGGCGCGTGATGTTCACACCCATGGAATCAATGCAAACGTTGTCTGCAGGGGAGGCAGACGTGTAGGTGGGCGGGCTGGGGAAGGAGAGGAACAAGACCCCTGACTAGGCCAGAGGCTGCCACAGAACCGTGTGTGTGTGTGTGTGTGTGTGGGGGGGGGGGGGCAAAAATCACCCCCCCCCCCGCGC